GAATAATCATAGCTTGCTCTGTTCATTTTTCAAGTTCAGATTTTCACACACTGAACTTAAGTCGGGCCTCTAAGGAAGGAATAAAAGTGGTTCCATTTGGGCCAGTCTTAGGAAAACAAGCACTATTTCTCCCTTCTGTGCACTCTTCAACCAACAGATGTCACTAAAGACACCGGTACCCAGAGGCAAAAGGAAGAAAAGGTTAGACAAATGGAAATTGAGCATAAAAAACATCCAGTTCGTAAAACTGAGAAGTAGGTTTCCAGAGTAATAACATTTATTACACTGCATGCAACATTTTAACCAAAAATTTAAGGAAGAAATTTCTTTTATTAAGTTGCTCAGGCTGAACGGATCATAGCACTAAGTTTCGAAATACACGTTCTTGAAGCAGTTCAAAACTCATTAGAAATAATAGGCTTGGGCTAGTAGAAAATGTGGTAAAATTTAATCCTCATCCAAATGTTACCTGGGCTGTGCAAACAGGAAATTGTTCTGTGCTACTGTGGCTAACCTCACTGCTGACCCTGAGCTGTAACGGCAAGAGCAGCTGAGGGCTGAAGCAAAATTAAAAACTTACATCAAAGTATATCATGACAGAATGTAGATAAATAAAACAGCACATCAAAAGTATTATTTCTCTGCCAGTCTCATTGAGCAGGGAGGTGGAGGTAGCCCACAAAATATGTAGCAAATCAGGTGCATTTAGCAATGAGCCCTCCCCCTCTGCACGCCCCCAACCCCTGGCTTCCCAAATACTGCCCGGGAGAGGTGCGCAGAGAAAAAGCCTGGTGCGGACGGGGACAGAAGGGATCACAGAATGTCCTGGCCTTTTCCCTCCATGGGCTTCCCCTTCTTTCACCTTGGCTTACCAAACAAATAAACAATGCTGGCTCCTGTGTGACCTCCCAGTCACTCTTTCCCTCATCTTCCAGACTCCTGGATGGCACCCACATGATCTCCCTCCAACAGGCGTATTAGAATCTCCAGAGGTAACAGCATGGGTCATAAAACATCACAGAAGGCAGACAGACAAAACCAGCTTGGCTGATGAGCCAGCATGGGAATCAGTGAAGGTCGAGAAACATCTTTCTATTATTCCGTGTGAAGTGCATGTGTCAAAGTCACTGGTGACAAAGTTGAAGGACATTTTTCCATTAAGCCTTTGATTCCCCCTAAGTTTTAGGACAGAAATCACCAGACTAGAGAACAGTGCTTCCTCATAAACATCTTCCTCTGCGTCTCGCGGTGGAATGAGAAGCATGGAAGACGATGGCCTCACGTCGTCCCGACTTTGCATGAGACTCCCCTTCGGCCACGTGCCAGCTTCGCGATGCCTGGCAACCCTCTTAACCCCCACGAGCTTCAGTTTCTTCCTAACGGTGATCACGGCAGCTTGCTGGTCTGAGGGCTTTCCATGCAGAATCTAACCGAATCTTCATAACTACCCAATGCAGTAAGGCATCACTGTCTCTGTTTAACAGGAAACTGAAGCAAACGTGGCTAAGCAGCTTAACCAAGTCCCAGCGACTAGTGAGTGGCAGATAATGCCTACTTTGAGGACTCAGTGGGCTAACGTATAATAGATGGTCTAGGATAGGAGCGGGCACATAGTAGCTGATTTAAAAAATGGAAGTTACCATTACTATTAGTCCAAACTGAGGAGCAGAGCCTTAGCCTAATCTGGTCTTTCTTCAGGGTAAGAAAACACCCGACCTCTCTTTAAGAATGCTCTGGGGTATTTTGTCTTTTGCACTCCCCTTTCTCTACTTCCTTCCCGCCCTCCGTTTCCCTCGTCCCGTTCTTCCTCCGCAGCAATCCGTGCGTAGTGATCTTTCTCAGCGTTTGCTGCGATGCCTTCGTCTACGACGGACAACCTGACAGAGGCCTGGGCAGCTTTGGAGCCTACAGACTTGGCACTGTTCTGAGCCTCCCGTGCTGTCACTCACTGGACACACATTGTTCCAGAGATACAGTGATACTGTCCGAGGAGGAAGCCACTGCTCTTAGCAGCCCCATTGCAGTAATGAATAAGCCTCAAAGGAAAAATGACACGTGGCGAAAAAAACTGGCCCCAGGAAGAGGGAAACAGAAGATACAACTGTGACTGGTAACAGGAATCTAACATGTGTATAGTTCAGGCTCCACTGACCACTGAGAAATTCTCATACATGCACTGCTTCATAATGGAAACTATTATTTTCTTTTAAAAGTGAGGAAACAGAAGTCCAGCACTTGTTATAGGCAGAAGGAAGCTGAGCAGTGTAGTCCAAGTAGGAGGCATCCCTGGACACAAATGTGACATGTGACATGGTCAGTGAACCCCTGTGCAAAGAAAGCAGCTCTGTGAGTATGAGAGGACAGCTCTGGATCAAGGAGAGGCATTTCATTGAGTACCTATTCTATCTATGGCACAGCCTGTGCCAAGCCCTTTACTCAGAGTAGCTCAGTTAACCCCCTCTCATCGCAACTAGCCAGGTGGGTTAGTAGGTACTGTTCATTACAGCAGGCCCTCTGTATTGCACCTGCAGATTCAATCATCTGTGGATCTAAAATAAGCAGGGGGAAAAATCCCAGAAAATTCCAAAAAGTAAAGCTTGAATTTGCCATGCACCGTACTATGTTGAATCCATGCGAATGAAGTGATGGGCAGGCAACCCCTGCTGTAGCCTATACACAAATATAGACTATATGCAAATCCTATGCCATTTTTCATAGGGGACTTGAGAGTCAGTGGATTTGGGTATCTGTGGGGGGCAGCCCTGGAACCAGTCCCCCACAGACATGGAGAGACAACTGGATTCCTAATTTTATAGTACACGAGAAAATCAGGCACAAAAGGTATAGTGTCTTAGCTGAAGGTCAAGCAGTTAATAAGGGTTGGTACTCAGATTTTTTGTGTGTGTTATGTTTTCATTGATTTTTTAGAGAGAGGAAGGGAGAGAGATAGAAACATTGATGTGAGAGAGAAACATTGATTAGCTGCCTCTTGCATGCCCCCTACTGGGGATCGAGCCTGCAACTTGGGCCTGTGCCCTGACTGGGAATCGAACCAGGACCTCATGGCCCTGGGACAGTGCATCCATTGAGCCACACTGCTAGGCAGTAATAAAATCTATAAAAAAAAATTTTTTCTTTATTGATTTTAGAGAGATTGGCAGGGAGAGGAAGAGAGAGATAGACACATTGATGAGAGAGAACATCAACTGGCCGGCTCCTGCATGCCCCCCACTGGAGATCGGGTCCACAACCTGGGCATGTGCCCTGACTGGGAATCAAACCGATGGCCTCTTGGTGCATGGGTCAACGCTCAACCTCTGAGCCATACCAGCCGGGCAGTACTCAGATCTTTTAATTTCCAAAATCATACTTTTTCTAAGGTACCATGATTAGACATACACGAGAAGTGTGTAAACTATATTGAGAATATTTTGAAAGGGTCCACTTTAACCTTTAGTAGGCAAAGCATTTCTACTTTCTATGATTCTAATGTGTTCACTTTCAAGAGATACAAAAGCTGCGGCAACATAGTTGTGGGAAGAGATGAAAAATAAAAGAGTGCAATTTTACTGTCTTTAATTAGGTGATTTCTGTCGTTTTCATACACTTACAACCTCCAACTCTAAATATAACCTGTATAATTAAAACTAAGCACTTTTTTTTGTTAATCCTCACCCGAGGATATTTTTCCATTAGATTTTTTACAGAATGGAAGAGAGGGAGAGAGAGAGAGAAACATCCACGTGAGAAACACATTGACTGGATGCCTCCCACATGACCCTGCCTGGGGCTGGAGATCGAGACTGCAACCCAGGTATGTGCACTTGACCAGGAATCAAACCTACAACCCTTCGGTCCTCAGGCCAACACTCTAACTGCTGAGCCAAACCGGTAAGGGCAAGACTAAGCATTTTTAACAGAGGCCTACAATGCACACAGATCAGAGCCTCAGAATATATTGTGAATTAATGTAAAAAAACTTTTTTAAAACAGCTGTTTTTCTGCCTTTTAAAAAACGGGCTTTTACTTTTAAAATAGTAATATGCTTTTAATGGTTGTTCTCTCTCTCTCTCTCTCTCTCTCTCTCACACACACACTCACACACACACACACACACACACACACACACACACACAAAATAAAGAGGCTTTGTAAAATCTGTTTCTAGGTACTCAAAAAGATATATGAGAACCACAGGCAATTTTTGAGAGCAAATGTACCTGGTTTGGCCACTGATTTGGGAAAGTAAGCAAGGACAGGCCAAGAAGAAGAGGACAGAGTATAGGGCACACAGTAAGTGCCTGGCACAGAGAAGGGCACCACCGGGCTCTGCCCCTGCTCGGTGTTCAGCCAGGGTGGCAACAGAGCTCAGAGGATTCTTGTCCACCCTGTGCCCACTCCCTGGCTACAGAAAGAGCTCAGAGTTCAGAATTTCATTGAAGAAGCTGTCAGAATTGCTAAGTGCTATGGTTTATGGTAGTTCTAAGGCCCTGTTTTGGACCTAACCTAATTTTTTACTATAAATGAATAGGTCAGTCTTTACTATTGAACTCTGATTTCAGGGGTGTAATGCCCCAAAGTCCCTATAATACAGTATTTACTGCTCTTTATCAAGATATTTTTCCAAAATTCCGTGCTGGTGACATACTGGTCTAAGCCTTCCTTCACCCAAGATAGTCAACTCCCTGATAGAACTTTCAGCAATTCTGAATATGCTATAATTCTTCAATATTCCACCTAGTGTATTCCCTCTGTCTACTGACATTGCAATTTTCTCCCAAAGAAATTCATCAAGTGGGTCAGGAAGACATGTAGCGAGAGGCATTGCTGCGTGCTTCTCCCGATGCCTATATGATAGCACCCAGCTCTCTGCGCTCCTGTTACCCACTTCGCAAATGCACACAGACATGAAGTTCAAAATAACAAAATAACAAACACCCTCCTTTCCTCCAAAGAAATAAAGTTATATTGCAGAGACAAATATGGAAAAAGATACTCACCATAAGTGCAAATCATTTTACTAGCTTCTCTGAAAAGAAGAATTCCATTAGGAGATGATACATCAAAATTCAAACGCTGGGATCTAAGAAATATAGCAAAATATTAGACCATCTGTGCAGATAAAGAAGCCAAATATAGGTTTAAAATGCCTAGCATTTCCATTTATTAGAAATAGTGGCAGTATAATTATCCCCGTTTAAAAGTGCCATTCCATTAATACATATGCGAATTTCCCCACTACAAAGATACTAGAACAATTAAGAAAAATTATTTTCACTTATTTGCTGATTCAAAGAATTCACTTTTTATCTGTCAAAACAATAGCCTGACATCCTCTATCACAAACCTCTTTCCATTCTCCTTTCATGCAAAGAGGTTGATACATAATAATAGAAAACCCCAGGTGTGTACGTGTAAGTTTATACAGATACTTGGATAGAGATTTACATTTGAGATCTGTTGCGCCCAATACACATTTTAGAAACAAATTCTAAAGTGACAGATAGGAAACCCAGGTACCTTTAATACTGCACATATGATTCATCTGCTACTTCAAGCACATTTCAAACACATTAAATTCCATGCAGGCTACAGTTTCCATTGCACACAGCTCAAGTAGAGAAAACACATGCCAGAAGTTGCAAGGGAGGGCCATTCTACTTCCCCGGTTCCTGACAGGTGGGAGGACAGTAGGAACAGAATACAGGACATGCCATCCAGATACAACATTTGTAACAGCACTTTGGCTTTAGTTGGCTCTGATCTGCCTTGTGGCTGTGCTTTCGAGAAATGATATATTTCTAAAAGAATTAGCAAGAATATGAAACCAGGGCAAAGAAATATCACAAAGTAAAGACATCTGCTAAACTACTGTTAGCCAGGAATAGAGTAAGTTGTTGCTCTTCCAGGCTTTTTCAAAATGCTTTAGAATTAAGTTCAATAACTTATTAGAAACATTACCGTGAACATTTGATTGTTGGTATATAACTCCTGAATAAAAAAATAAGTATAGCCCTGGCCGGTTTGGCTCAGCGGTTAGAACGTCGGCCTGCGGTCCTGAGAGACCCGGGTTTGGTTCCCGCTAAGGGCACATACCTCGGTTGCAGTTTGTCCCCGGCCCTGGTCGGTTGTGTGGGTGGCAGCCACTCGATGTGTCCCTTCACATCGATGTTTCTCTCTCTCTCTCTGTTCCTCTCTCTCCCTCCCACTCTACCTGAACAAAAAATGGAAAAATGTCCTCGGGTGAGGATAAAAAAAAAAAAAAAAAAAAAGTATAGAGCTATAATTCACATTAGATTCTAGAATCTAATTCAAATTAGATTCTAAAGAAACATAGACAAGATAACGTATTTCCTGAGATTGCAGATTTTCACTAGACAGTTGTTAGGACAACTGTGCTAGGTATAAATGATCTGCTTATGGTTGACATAAAATATTTCACAATATACAATGCAATGTTGTTGTTTTTTCCCTTTAGTATTAAATGTTATATCAGTAACATAGTCAATTATCTGATTGAAAAAAATATAATCGAATAAAAACTCAATTTCTGAGATAAAATACATAGTTACCTTTCCTTGAATTTTTAAGTCATGGATCAGAATGGTTAAAAATAAAAACTAACAGCTTTCAAAAGAATAATACTCACATTTATTTCTTTGCCAGGTCTTTTCCCACCTCTTGTTTAAATTGTTTAAATTATTGCTGTCAAAGCATAGCACCAGAGATAAAATGAGAGCTGCAATTATACTCCTGTCTAAGTCTCTCCCAGCACACGCGTTACAAAGAGGGACTGATAAGACAGGGCAGCTAAGTGACAGGTAATTTGGTGCTAAGCTCTATTCACATTGACATATTTTAAACCAATGAGCTTATTGCAGTTTTTCTCTTTTGGCTACATCTTTGTTAATATTTATATGCAGAGTTATTGAATCTCTGCTGGTCTATGCAAATAATAAGGTCAAGTAGGCAATTTCTGGGAAGTGTCATAGTTGCTGTTCAAATGAAAATTTTGAACAGCAACTACGACACACATACATGCACCCTGGCATAGAGGAAGAAGGATGACTCAGAAGTTAAAGCAAGGACAATCCCCAGGGCTCCAGAGACAAACTGTCCTGAACTGCCCTGGGATTCTCTCTTATCCATAAAATGAAGCATCTCAATTCAGAGACCACGAAACTTCTTTCCTGCTTTAAAATTCTACAGAATTACAGTTCAGTAGTGAAACAGTTAAAAAGCTGCCCTTCCTCCATTTGTGTCTTTGATTATTTTAAACAAGGGTGGCTGTAGTCTTCAATTTTGTCTTCCCAGCTCTATATACACCTAAGTATACTACATCCTTTCTCCCCAAAGGACTCAGCCTTATGTCTCTCATTCTACTGCTGCCACTGAGCATCTTGTTTCGGTCCCTGGGTCCTTGCTAAGCCTCGATCACACACACACAAGGTAGTAAATGCTGCTCTCTGGAGACTGCTGCTAAGCAGATTGCTTCCCACTCCTCCTCACACCTTTACCTGTTTTGCATCAGTTCTGCCATCAGTTTTAGGATGGGAGTGGTGCAGGCTGGCTCTCCGTACCACTGCTCAATAGCCCTCTGAAGGATGGGAAGGTATGTTGGGTACCTTTTTGACAGTCTGTTAAAGAACTTAAGAGTCAAAAGGAATATGGTTCCTGAAAGTTGGTGCCACATAACAAGAAAAAAGGAATCCACGTTTGTCCTGTGTTCAGTATAGCATGGCCATCTCATAAATCACTCTCCATACCCAGCACAGCTACACTTTTCTGAGACTGCAAATGATTTGCTCTTATTGGTAACATATCCCACACATTACATGGCTTTATTCTTAGCATGCTCTATGAATAAAATACACATTTTAAAAATTATCATATAAGCAACACATTTAAGAATTACCCTTAATATTGTAGAAAAGAAAAATAAATTTAGTGGATGAGGGTAAAAACATATTTTAATTGTTATTGTAACAGTTTCCTGGGTATCAAACTACTTAAGGAGTAAGAAACTGTATTAGGATCGGGGTTATCTGTCTGCCCCATTAGGTAGTGAGTTTCTACAGGGCAAAGACCTGTGCTTCCCTATCATGTTGCTAATTCCTATCTGTCCCGCAGATTTCAGTGATCCCCGGAAGCCCCCAGGACTCCCGCCAGGGTTAGGGGTGTCTCCTGTGCATGGCTGTGGTACCGGTGCTAGTGCCATCTCAGCACTTTCTCCTCCGCCCTTACATGCTATTTGAGGGCAGGGCCGAGGTACTTACTGTATGCGTGGACCTGGCAGAGTAGATGTCAATAAATATCTGTTGCTGTAAACGTGCCAATCTCGAAATGGGGTGTAGTGTACTTGAGTAGACCAACTTATTTAATTTTTTAAGCTGTGCACGTTACTCTGGAGCTTCAGGAAACAACTCTCTCAACATTCAGCGACAATGCGCTCCTAGCTCAGGAGTGGCACGCTCCTTAAAGTACAAAGGAATACTTTTATCTCCCTAAGACAGACCATGTGAAGGCAGCATTTGTTTATATTAAAACAATTTACTTAAGAAGTATTTATTGAAGGCCTAGTGTATAACTGTCTATTCACTGGTTTAGACTCTCTGGAGACACCAACCAGAGAAGCAAACATTACAAAAAAGCCCTGCCCTCACAGACTTTGTATTCTAATGAGCCAGAAATAAACAAAATAGATATGTAATATGTTAGAAAGCACCACAAAGGAACATAAAGCAGAGATGGGAGAAAAGAAGTGAGCATATATGTGAGTATGAGGTTTTAGTTGAATGAAAATGGAAAAAAAAATCAATGAACTTCTTGATTATCAACTCTGTTTTGGCTGTTATCAGATAATTTACTGTTTTTCCTACAAACTAAAAAATATGTTCTTTTTGATAGATGGTCGACACTATGCGCCATGCACTATGCCAGGGACCAGGGACCAGGGACCTAGAGATAATTAAGCCATGGCCTTTGTTCTTGGGCACTCACGCTAAAGTCTGGGCGGGGGACACCCACTAGAGGAGCTCTGAGCAGCAAGGGTGGGAATACGTTCCACTGAGACCTCTCGAGCACCGACTCAGTGATCACGGGGGACAACGCGTCTGAAAGGTTCATCGGAAAGCGGGAAGCCCGCATCTCAGAACTGAAGAGGAGCGCAAGCACACACGCCCGTGCAGGGCATCCGAAAGGCAGCAGGGCCGTGGCATTTTCCAGAGCACACGGCCTTGGCTACGGGCCGAGGCCGGGGAGGTGAGGGGATGCTCCCTTTCCCGTGTGGAACGAGAGCGGTGCCATTCTAATCTGCTGCTGACAGAGGTGACTGCCACGGAGGAGATGAGTGATGCTGCAGAGCAGAGCGGAGGTCTACCGAGCAGCGAGGTTAAGAGGGCTTTGGAGAGCGAATGCCAGACCGGGGTTCCAGGGTGGGAATCCAACCCGCTCTTAATCTTCCCGTGGCCTCGCGAGGACCACACAGACGGAGAGGAAGACAGCGGGAGCCCTTTGGTAGGAGAGGCACAGATGTGCTTTCTCCTAGATCTTCCAATGAATTTCTAAGGTCTACACCAGATAAATGAAAAACCAAAAGCATTAAGGACAGTAGCTTGTAAGTTGCCAAATATAAATAAGAAAATGAAAAGTATATGAGATGTGCTTCTTGACATCTATCCATCTACCCTCCCACCCACCCACTGACCAATCCAATAGTTATTAGTACTTACTATATGCTATTCTCTCCCAAAAGAAGTAAGAACATAGTTCTTTCCCTCTGGGGTTTCACAATAAAGAAAGCATCGTAACGTACTAGAAGACAGCTTCAAGAGCTTTTGTTGGAACTGTCAGGAGAAACGGGTGCGAGATTCAGAGCCTGCCAGTCCAGAGCGTCCTTGGAAGGTGAACATCTGCACCGCCGCTCACGAGGGCTAGTGCTGCCGGAAGCCGTCCCTCTCCCTTCTGCCTGGCAGTGCCTGCCTAGCCCACCTGCCACTTCCCTGGGAAGCCTCCTCATTTTGCCAAAACCACCCATCTCTTCCTCTTACACAGTTCTTTCCATGCATTTTTGCTACAACACATTGACTGTTTATTAGTTACTTAGATCCACTACATTGTGAGCTTCTAAAGAAGCAATCCTTGTAAAAAGCAATCTTTCTATTCATTCCTCATGCCTGGCACAGAGCACTCAAAACAAAAACAAAAACAAAAACAACTTGCAAAACAGGGATTTTTCAGGTTTACTTTCTTTCCTATCTCCTGATCATTATTTTGTTCTTGAAATGTAATTCTGATTTTGTTAGCCAATTAAAACAATTAATTGCTTTGTACTGTCTATGGAATAAGGGTCTAAATTCCGTAGCCTGAATTTCAAGGGTCCCAGGCAACCTGTATTTCAACCATGAAATCAGCGGTACGTATAAAAAATCATCTCCTCCACTATTCCCCCTCCTAAACCTGTGCTTCGGCCAAAGGGAAAGCTTTTACTTTGCAGTTCCGGCAGTCCATTGACTTATTTGATAAGATCCAAGGAAATACTGTCACCTTTACAGAGTCTCTCCTGTTTCCCCAGCTAAACGCGGTCACTCATTTGTATCTTTAAGTCACTTATCACCTTTTATATTTTATTATCGTCATTTATGTAGTTATCTAACCAGCTCTATTAAACTATAAGCTTATTTTGGGGTAGGATTGGATCCAAAGTAATCTATATCCCTCACAAAACCTAGCCCAGTCCTTAGCAAAATCTGCTGAATAAGTGAGCAAGTGGGACCCCGCTGTCTCATCCCTCGTAGGGAGCAGGCCAAGACAACAGCGGGAGAGCATTTCCTTTGGGCCGGGCCCTGTACTAGGCCCTTATATGTCAGTTCACTGCCTTTCCACTGTACCTGCCAGACAGGTATCAGCAGCCCTGATCTACAGCAGAGAACACTGATTCTGAGCCACTAAGCAACTTGCCCAGACCTCACAAGTGTTACGTGGTGAAACCAGACTGGCATCTAAGACTGTCCTCGTCCGGAGCCAGTGTTCGTCTGCGTGGCTCACCGTCCGGCCTGAGCCCTGCCTGCTTTTATGCACATTCATAAACAGAACTGGTGGCTGATTCGACACCAGTGCACTCAAAGATCAGACTATGGTAGTTAAAACTATGAGGAAATAGTGGTATACACATTCCTGTAGTTTTTTCAATTTTCCTCTGGATTTTGAGACTTCGGTCTAAATGTTCTGCAGAAAGTTTAAACAAGGTGACTTAATGCACTGTGAGGTAAGGGGCTTTTCTGCTGTTGCATTCTCATGACAGGTGCAGAGAAGGGCCAATGACTCCTTCTGGCCCTGGGGGCACACAGTTTATCAACATGGGTCGTTCCAGGCGGCTTAGTTTTGGAAGGACAAAGTGAGGAGCAATGTAGTTTGTGTAGCACTTAATGCAGTCAGTATTTATAGAAATGTTTTTGAATTAAATAGCTAACCACTAAAATAGCATTTTATCAAATAATCACCATAAACAAAATGCATTTTGACTGTAAGACGACATGTGCTCCTATACGATGCTGCTTCTGCATGTTAAGGACCGTGTGACATATTAAAGAACACGCATTTAGGTGGATAGAAGGCAAATAAACTTCCCCAGCAGTAATGCGGGAATCACCCCTGACGGTTTGACATACCAATATTTCAGGAAGAATAAATGACTTTCATATCCATGTTTTTTTAATCATATACTTATTCATTTTTACATTACTAGAATACTTTGGAAAGAATCTATAGTTTATCACCTGAAACTGCTTAAAGTATTTTGAAATATTTTAATAAAGCTTTTTGAATGATCAAATAATGTAACTTTTAAACAAATTTTACTATTATTATAAATATTTGCTCTTCATCCTGGCCCAAAGGAAAACTATAAATCTTGTCTCAACTGAATGAACACCATTTATCATATTCATTTTGTTGTCAATACAATTATGAAAAGCCTTTGGCCTTTTCCCAAGGAAGCTGATTTGCTACTGAAACTCAGTTATCATAAGCAAAGCCTGTACCAAGCCTCCCGCCTGGCATTCTAACACAGCTCCCGCATAACTCACACTCTGCCCTCCGCCCGGACCCTAACAATGTCTACGTCTCCGGTCAAATCGTGGAGGCAACCGTTTCTAGTTCAAAACAAAACATTAAGTCCCAAGGCTTTCCGTTTGCTGTTTTCTGCCATCTGCTGGACACACTGAAGGAGCTAAGTCAGGGAATGGAAAACAGCCTTCATTCAGAACTTCAATTACAGTATGTTCTGTACCTTTTAGGCAGTATCAATTATGGAAGCTCCTTTTATTCTTTGGCACTAAGGGAGGAGGTTCTGACCTCACCTCTTGGTGCAGACTGCTGATGAGGAAAACATGAAACATTAACTGTTGGACAGCCCAGAGTTGTAGCTTGGTTTCAAGATTACCATCGATTTAAAGTGTGAAAACTAGGATTTTATGATTTTTCAGATAAACGAAAGTTTTACTCTATGAGCTTCTATTTATTTTCAGAGAAATAAAAGGGTCATATGTAAGTCCAGTTTATCATTTGCAGTTTAAAAAACTGTATGATTTTCCGTGTTAAAAATCTATCATCTCTAATATACTTTGTATGCTGATATAGAGACATACACGATCCCTCAACGACATGGAACATTATCTCTACCTAACCCTTTATCTGGTGAAGTAGGTTTTAATAGCACAATGTAAGTCAGTATTCAAATTAAGGTTAATTAATAAAAAAAAAAAAGAGTTCTTCCTAAAATATGCCCAGGTTCCCTGTTAGTTATGATTTGGGCCATAACTGTACCAGCAGTTGAAGACTGCCTTAAAGAAGCTTCTTTTTGCCCTGGCCGGTTTGGCTCAGCGGTTAGAGCGTCCACCTGCGGTCCAGAGAGACCCGGGTTCGGTTCCCGCTGGGGGCGTGTACCTCGGTTGCAGTTTGTCCCCGGCCCTGGATGGTTGTGCGGGTGGCGGCCACTCGATGTGTCCCTTTCGCATCGATGTTTCTCTCTCTCTCTTCCTCTCTCTCCCTCCCACTCTATCTGTGCAAAAAATGGAAAAATGTCCTCGGGTGAGGATAAAAAAAAAAAAAAGAAGCTTCTTTTCTGATTTACGAGAGAAGTTTGGACCAGAAGGGTTTGAAAGGAACAACTGAGAAACAGTGCAACTTAGAAAATAAAATAATGTTAAGGCTATAGGATTTTTCTTATGTGCTCTGATGGTTTCATGTATACAGGCATGGAAACTTTATATTACACTTCTATGACTTGCCTAAATTGTCGCTTCCTGTTAGGACCAGAGAGGATTCATACAACACTATGAAAGCAATATTAACAGTACCTATTTAAGACTATGGAACGTTTCAGACCTTATGCATAGTGTGTGACTGATTTTAATGGTTACAATGAGCCACAATTGGATGTCTCCTTTTTCGATGAGGAAACCAAGATGCAGAGAGGGTAACTGACTTGCCAAGGTACACACAGTAAGTGAAGAGCTGAGATTCCGGACCCAAAGTCCATGTTCTTTTCACTGCTATGTGATGAGATATTTCTGTGGGGGATGTCTGTCTGTTTCTTTATTTTGCTATCTGTACTAAGCCTTGGCAAAGGTAAATTCACATACCAATGAAAAATCCTGACCGTTTATTTCCCCCTTTCCAAGCCCATTAATATTTTCATGATGATGAAAAACTGTAGCATGATGAATTAAGCCTCCAAGAGATAAAGTGACCTTCTCAGCCCTGCTAATTAAGATGGAGTGGAAATTCAAATCTCCTCGAAATGCCAAATGGTAGGATTCATCGGTCCTGGTTAAAGATGTTAGCTTGATTATCCCTGCAATCCTAACAAAAACAATCCTTTGGGGATGCGAGTTTTAAGTTGTCAATATTTAATGGCACCGAAAAAGTGACCTCTCTGAGCTGGGTCTCCAAATGCTGTGCTCAGTTATCTGCACCGCTGCCACTGTGCTGTAATTTTTAGCTGATTACACATTAGTTCATTTAGCTTTGTTTCCTCTTCCCTACTGTGCCATACTATTAAACGAAAGCGAGGGGCCTGGCATCCCCCTGTGCACAGAGCTGGTATTGTCACAGTGTAATAAGGATACATCCAGTCAAACAGCATGGTGTAGCTGGTCTTTGTGTTCAGTGCAAAGGCAATCCCTCGAAGATCTCTTGCCAGCCCGATCAACATACGCTGTCAGTGGGAAAGAGACACAGTAATTGATTTTCACGTTAGCACAGAGCAGATGGAGTAATAATCAGGCAATAATGACCACATATCTGATTTTGATTCATTAGCTAAAATGTCTCGCTCAGATCCTTTTCTACAGAAAACCATAGACACTTTAAATAAACAGACCTTCAAATCTGCTGACCAATTTTACTTTGATTCTTATAAACTGGCTAAGTCATAATTCTAATAGCATAGGAACATTTAAATTCTTAATCTACTTTGTTTCTGAATAATGCCCAAAAAGAAAAAAGAAAAAAGGGCAGATAATTCCACAAAGCAGAGATGCAGTCTAGATAATATTTAATAATAGCAGATCTTGACAACACTGGCCGGCATGACTCAGTCCCACTCTGCAGTGTAAAGTCTATTGTGGAAGCACACTGGCATTTAAAGGTCTCTAAGAAACATCCCAAGTGACTGAGGATGAAATAAAACTGGCCAGGTGACCTACTGGTACCATGACATTCCTAGAAAGGCATTCACATTCCCCAGCAAGCAAAAAAAAAAAAAAAAAAAATGTGTAAGGAAAAGAGTTCTATATTAGATGTCAGAAGACTTGATACTGAATTCCAACTTTACTTCTTACAGGCAATGTATCAGTCTCCGTTTTCTCATCTATAAAAGGGGCTGCCCTGGCCGGCGTGGCTCAGAGGTTAGAGCGTCAGCCTGTGGACCAGATAGGCCCAACTGCGGTTCCTGCTAAGGGCACGAACCTCGGTTGCAGTTTGTCCCCGGCCCCAGGTGGGGACGTGTGGGTGGCGACCACTCTGTGTGACTCTCTCACATCGATGTTTCTCTCTCTCTTCCTCCCTTGCTCCCTCCAGCTCTATCTGAAGATAAATGCAAAAAATGTCCTCGGGTGAGGATAAAAAAAGGGAGGAGGCTAATAACACCTCCTTCACAGAGGCACTGTGAGGAATAAATCTGACAAATTTATGTGAAAATGCTTAACAAGAGCCTGACACAGACTAAGTATTCCATAAATATTTCATTTTAGAAAAACAAAAACTTGACTCTAAAATAAAAGAGCTCAGACTTGGACTCTGGATGCTTAATTAAGCTGTCCTTAGGAGGATGCCTGGGAAGAGAAACACAAAATCTGGGAACAGATGCTAGAATGTCAGAACAAAGAGCACAAATAAACACAGTTGCAAAACAAGGGGTGGGGTAACAGATACACAACTGAAGATGCTGCTTCCGTGGAGAGATCTGCCAGGACACAGTCCTTTGCCCAGGTTTTCTTTTTCCTCGCACTTTGGTAATAAATGAAAACCTCTTTAGGAAGGTGTTTAAATTATCATTAAGGACTTGAAAGTGAATCATGATCCTCAGCTTAAGGGCTGAATAACATTTCCAAGTACCAAATAATAGTTTCTCTGTCAGGGTGTCTGAATTTCCCATCTTTCCGCCATCCCACCTAAAAGGCGCTCATTCTACCTGGAAGCTGTTTATAAGGATATTCCGTTTCTACGCTAAGAGTTTAGGGAATGAGGGTTATCTGAATTTCTGAACCTGCAGACCCTGAATACCTGTTTCTGCTTCTTTAAGTGACTTTTTCTTTTTCCTCCCATAATCTCAGCAGCCCTTGTTTTTCTGGAACCGGCTAGTCTCCTGTACAGTTCTCTCATGTGACCTGCTATTTTTTAAAAACCATTTTGCCTTTTATGTAACCTCTTTTCACCACCTGGAACGCGCTCCCCTCTCTCCGAGCTTCCCACGTTTCCCACAGCCTCCAGAACAAAACAGATCTCCGCAGAAGCCTCCTGGAGCAATTCCATTCTCACAACTGGGCTCTGCAGTCTTTCTATGAAGGTGGCTTTTTTGGTCTACTTTTATTATGTACACTTACATGTCACAGGCTACTCTTTAAATAATCTTACATTTTCACATGCAATAAGGCACCCACCACCCAACTCTAAATTAAACAAGAGGGACCAGGAGGTACTTGCGTTGTGCCCAGTGCAAAAGGCTCTTCAGATGTTTTAGACTAACTACCCTTATCACATAAAAGTGTTAACTTACTTCATCACACATTTTTCTTCCTTAAAAGATGCCAAGTTAACAGACATGCTCTAATGGACTTGAATCTATGAAATCCCACCAATGTTTAATTTTAGGAACTGTTACTACAGAGCAGAGAAAGCATTAAGAAATAATAACTAAATATTTGTTTTCAATAGATTTGACTGAGCAGGAAAATACAGTGTTGATGTAAGAAAGAGATTTCTTATGCTGCTTTGATCTCAAAACAGCAAGGGTTCTACTGTAAGAAGCTCTCCCGGTACTCAGACAATATGAAGGGAGTATTTTTTTGAGAGCCAAACATACCCAGTTCTAGTATGAGACAGCAGGTTTGTTCACCAGGAGCTCAGTCAAGGTACTGAACGATCAGAGTGAGGGGTCCGACGGGAATTTAGGGGAGCCACAACTGACCGTCTCATTTCAGCAGTGTGCAGCTGTATCTGAACAGCTGCTTTGCTCCTCTAGTGGGTCAGCACGTAATTGAGGGGAAAAGTGAGCGGCTGCTATATTTCTAGGGAGGCTGTTCTGGGGAGTGGGGTAGCTCTGGGGTACCTAATCCTAACGATTTCTTTTTGGATAGCCCAAGGAGAAACTGCTCAGGGCTTCAGCCCGCTGCCTGGTAAACAGTTGTCTGTGTGCCAAGTGTGAGACGGATGGGCTTGGAAACAGCTGAAATGCGGCTCCTTCCACCCTGACCCCCAAAACAGGGTTTCTAATGGAAAGTCTGACAGACCCTTTACTGTAGTGGCACTACTGGGGGCAGCTATAATATTATCCTCATAATTCTACTATATAATAACAACAAAGAAAAAGAAGGTGAAGGGTCATTGTGCTTTGTCTTTAGAATTAAGATGGCTGTCTTCATCCTTAAAGCATACTCTTAATTCTGGAGACACATCTTAATAACCTCTAAATAGTTCCAACAAAAGAGCCGTGTCAGAGGAATGAGCAGGCCCCAAGGTGTTTCAACTGGAGTGTTTTCATCTGCCTTTATTGCTCTATCCCTCTCCAGAATTAAGGCAATAACCTGTGATAAATTATTCAGGAACTGCTACAGGGATCAAAGCAAAATCATTCTGTTAAAGTGCTGTTTGCAACATTTGGCACTTAGTGCGAAAACTTTTAATGTGCGCATGCTGAAAATCAAGGATTTTAAATAATTTAACATTGTAGAGTTTATACGAAGGGACTAAAGATAGCAGGTTCCTATTTAACTGCTCCTCTTCCTCCGATAAGTTTTCATTCATTTTCCTTAAAAACTGATGACGTCACGGTCAAATAAAAAATGATACACAAGTCAGGGGGGTATTGGACTATATTTTACTACAGATACAAATATATGGGAAAACCATATATTTTCAACTAATGTTTTAGAACCAGGAATTATCACAGCATTTTCTTCCCTTTTCCCCCTTTACTTTGAAGAGAAAAGCCCAAGACAAAAATTCAATGTTCTCTTCAATTTTATCAGGACTAAGTACGAAAACAAAGCTATAAATTTAAGAGTTTTGCAGCATTTCCTCCCCTCACAACCATTATTTCAAATTGGCAACATCGGTCCTTAATGTTTATGTTCATCCTGAAATCCGCATTTGAAAAATATCTATAAATAGGGAGTTAGAAAATCCTGGTAAAGGTTGCAAATTAAATGAATATGGCAGTCCTGAGGCATTTTCACGGAGATATTTTAACAGCATCACCTCCTGTGGATCGGAATACTAAATACTTTATTGGAGAACAAAACCGAACCGTTTTTATCTCTAGTACTTGCAAAATGAAGTACCTGAAAGCACTTTTGCATGTATTATTTATTCATCATGATAGAAAAATAGTCTTAACCTAATAAATTACATTTAAAAAGCATTTAGTGCAAAAGTTTTGTTTATGATAAAGCAACAGATTTAGTTCTTTACTGGTAGCTCAAAGCACCAAGTTTTCTTTCTACAAATTAGACAGATGGTGCTTACAGTAGAATTTACTAAAGGTCTGTCACAACAAATGCAGCCAAGCTGCATATTTAATCACTGCAGAATCTTGTCTACCTGCAGCTGCCAACTGCTAATCCAATTTCCCTGATAAATGTGGCAAGAGACACGATCAGCAATAAAGAGCATCTAACTCCATTTTCCTGCAGGGCGTCTTTTGATGAACATTTAGGACGGAAGCACGGAGTGCACTGTGTGGCCTTGGTTCGTGGCAGCTGCATGCATTGTGAGGCACAGTTCTCAGGTTACTCACTTAATTCTGCCACTATCATTACGTTGCTATTGATCTCAGTAGCTGTTGCCTACACAGCATTACTCTAGATGAAGCTGAATCAGGCAGTTATCATGCATCAAACTTGCTCAAAAGCCTGGAGATTTCCCCTTAATTACTTGTGATTTTATTTGCAAATACCGTTAAAGTGTAATCAAGCAGTCACTTTCCAGGGTCGTTAAGAACTTGCTGGTTTAGGGATATATCACTGGAACTCCATTAAAAATGACTCGAGGAAGATGGTTTCTATCAAACTAGACGGGATCCCATCCAAACGGGTTTGGAGTACCATGAAATCTTCAAATGAGACAAATGGAATTTTTACAAAGATGGTGTTTTTCCACCTCGCTTCTTTTTGACATGAAGGGTAGCAGTGGCCACCTTACAGCTGCAAAGATCTCGCTGGTCACTAGAAGTATCTGTGAGCCACCCAAAACCACAGCGGACCCAACAGAAACTCGGGGAAGACTCAGCAAGACTATAAATGCAAAGACAATCTCTACAGTCTTGTTTGGTTTTAAAATTCTGTGACTATTGCATGTTGTTAAATACTCATTTCAAAAACTTTATTTCAAATGAAAAGGTACAGTTTTTGGCTAGTTTTCAGTAGAAGAATTACCTGAAAATAATGATCAGAGGTGACTATTTTTCTATTTGGCTTTTTGGTGCAATTTTTTTTTTTCGGGGGGTAGAGAGAGGAGGAGCCATGCAAAATGATGATTAATATTTTGGTCAACTTATTTAAAAAAATGATAAACTATGACTTAAGCATCACAACAAAGGTGCCCACATTCTCAGGAGTACATTTATCTGTCCCTTACAAATAATAATCAGTGTCAATCTATTTAATACGGCCCTGACACATTCTAATTTCAGAAGCTGCTCTTCCGATTTAGCAGAGCCTGTGCTCCCCATCCTCCACATTAAAATATGGGGCTGTTTTGTCACAAGCAGCTTGCTACACTTAAGGATTTTACTAATAAAACATAATGTTGTCTTAGATATTATGACTGTTGCCACAGCTGAACTGACTTGTCAAATCAATCCTAATATGGCTCCCACAGGCACATAAAAACCTTATTTAGCTATCAGTTATCCTAATCACTTTGTTCAGTTTAAGAATGCAATACTTCAAGACCAGCTCCTATTTATACATATATGCCTAGCCATTTAATAAAGTCTTGATTTATATAAATTCTTGTTTCAAAAAATATTTAGAGATCTAGTGTTTTAGCATGTGTATGTTTGTGCATGCTTCCACAGAAATATGTTGAGACACACAGCGCAGGGTAGGTGAGGGCACAGGGCTGCTTAAAGCAGTGTCCCCACGAGAAATGTTCTTTTAAAGGCCTTAACGGTCACAAGAGACGAATCTGTGTCACCTAGTCATAAACGGACTATGCCAACTCATCGGTGGTCTCAAAGCCCATCTGTCTAAGGAACCTCAACACTCCCATGAAGAGCACACGGAGGGACACTCGCAGTTGGGACCGGGAGGCGGACGAGGCACAGAGCACACACGCAGCACCTTCTCCTGGATCTACACAGCCTAGAAGGAACAACATCGTCTTTCCTTCTGTTTGGGGACAAACCCACCTTCACATCTTCTTGTTTAAAGTTGTTGTTGAATATTTGTAATACTGTTTCAAAAGAGACTGTAAGAGGCAGCATGAAATTCTCAAATTCGTCCTCATCTTCGCCTATCAAAAAACACAAAAGGGTCACCAGGGTTTAGAAAGCATGCCGTCGCAGGGAGCCTCGCTCGGCGTGAGCGCTCCAGCCAGGCTGAGTGCGTGCAGGGCTCGCCTGCGTTCACAGCCACGACACCTTTTCCCTTTTCCGCTTGGGCTCATTGAATATTCTGGTGTTTTGCTTTCTCTTTTTGCACCAAATGAAATAGCAAAATTACTTACCAGCCATTTTTTTTCTGGCTCTTTATTGGATCAAACAGACTCATGCCCCAGGCACCTCAGCGCTTCGCTCTCAGGCCCCCAGTTCCCCTAATGCCCCAAGGAAAGCCTCAGAGACAAGGATCTTTCCCCCTCCGCTTTGGGTGCCAAGGCCCTACAGGGCTCACAGACTCAGGTGCTCAGATAGCTCTAAGTTATTGTTCTCTTTTATTTATATCCCTTTTTATTAACTTGTTAAATAGATAGCAGGGAAACTTTTATCTGCCAAATAGGATGAGGTCCCTCCTGGGTCATTTGGATTTTAAGTCCATTCTCCATGGGTACACATCCTCTTGCAGTAAGCTTCCTTCTCTTTATAGAAAAGAGGGAAGGAAAAGAGACATTTTCTATTGTTTTTTCACTTTAAAGGTAGACTATAGTTTGCTCAAAAATTCTGCCAAAGCGGAGTCTTCACTTCACACATGAATATGCACAGTTGACAATTTACATAGTATTCTTTCAAAAAGGGATTCTTTTAAACGAAAGTTGATTCTCATTCACCCTATGCCACAGGGAACTAAAAGCCCAAATTCACTGACGAAGAAACAAGGCAGAGAAAGGGTAAGTGACTTACTCAAGGCAGCATATTTAGTTGGAGGTGGAGCTATATGATCCAAACCTGATTTCTATGCTATCACTCTTAAGAGCATTAGAGAGGAAATGAGATCTCAGAGAAGAGACCAGTGGTTCCCAGAGTCTGGTCCCTGGCCTAGCAGTTTCAGCATCACCTGGAAACTTGTTAGATATTCCCTGGTTCCATCCCAGACTGAATGAATCAGAAACTCTGGGATGGGGCCTAGCAATTTTTGTTTTGAGACAGCCTCCAGGTGATGCAGATGCATGGGGATGCTTGAGAAACACTAGCCTACACATCATTCTACAGATGAGGAAACCGAGGTCCAAGCCTACATACACAGATCAAAGACAGAAGCAGAATCTTTTGACTCTTAAGGAGTGGCTGACCTGGCCGAGCCTGATCTTCTGTGACTTTTCTTTTCCCTGTAACCTTACACAACTTGTTTCTAGAGCCCAACACAACCAGGGACTTAGTTTTGTTCACAAAGATATGTCAAAAGGCCAATGCATCTTTCCTGGTATGCTGTTCTAGGCAAGGGTCAGGATCCTAGGTGAAGGGTAAAGCAGATCAAATTATAATCCCTGCTCTGTCAAATGGCTATATGACCAAGTTATTCCTCGTAGATACACCCTCTGTCAATCGGTGACAACACAAAGCTTTACAGAAGCCACGCTTTCCAAAGCCCAGATCAAATGATCCCTTTCCCATTGCCTGAGCTGGGCTCCCCTGCAAGTTCTGCCTAAGCCCCCACTATCAGAGTTCCCTCTCCCTTCAGTTCCCATAGCATTCTGTCTGACTCTACTATAGACAGCACTTGTCAGTCGGCCTTGAAGTGTAAGTATTTAGCCATAAGCTGATAATAACAACACTAATAATACCACCTACATCATTCCACCATTACCATCATTTGATGAGGGTCACCTTGGGAACTGAATGAGATAAAATTTATAATGTGTGTATGTAAATTATTAGGTCTATCAGCCTACACTGACAGCATCTCTGGCTTCGCTTCTGGAGAGCTGAGACTGTGCACCTTGGCGTTTCTCAGGGAAGGAGAAGGACGTAGGGAGGGCTCTGCACACACAGACCCAGAGTCTGGCTCAGCCACATGCTGTTTAACTCTGGATGCTTACTAGTCACTCTCGGTTTTGTCATCTTCAAAATAAGGATGAAAACACCTATCCTTTAAGGTTATTGTCACTATTAAATGTTATCATACACGAACAATAGAATATGCTCAACAATAGTAGTGGTAATACTGGTGTTACAGAATTAGTACCTGGAACAGGGCTGGTAAATATCAGGGAAATACTGTATCTGAATGCAAAGCAATTGCTCAATAAAAGTGAATTTTGAAACTCTCTTATTTTCTTAACACCTGACATAGTGACTGACTGAAGTAAACACGATCAAACTCGTAGGCAGGTAATGCACACGTGTACACACATCCTACTGAGACTGCACCATCTCACTCCCCCAGGAACAGCATCCTCCAGACGTGCGACTCTCCCCAGGCCAGTGACATGAGCACTGCCGGCCGGCAAGGGGGCGGGAAGGAGCGCATGCGCAAGTTCTGGCTCTGCTACTGTTAGCTGTCTGATTCTGGATCAAGGCACTTCACTCACCTAAGCCTCAGTATCCTCCTCTGTAATTAAGAGACATAATATTTATAATAGACCCCCTTCTCTGTGGTTTTGCTTTCTACAGTTTCAATTACCTGTGGTTAACCAAGGTCCAAAAATACTAAATGGAAAATTCCAGAAATAAACAATTCATAAGTTTTGAACTGCACGCTGTTCTAAGAAGCACGGCGATATCCTGTGCCACCTTGTCCTGTCCCTCGGGATGTGAATCATCCTTTGTGCCGTGTATCCATGCTGTACATGCTCCTCACCCACTAGTCCCTTAGTAGCTGCCTTGGTCAGATCTACTGTCGCAGTATCACAGTGCTTGGGTCCAACTAACCCTTATTTTACTTCATAGTCACCCTAAAGTCCAAGATTAGTGCTGCTGGCAATCTGGAGATGCCAGAGAGAAGTGACATGCATCCTTTAAGTGAAAGGTGAAAGTTCTTGACTTAAAGAAAAAAAAAAACATGCTGAGGTTGCTAAGATCTATTATAAGAATGAATCCTTTATCCATGAAATTGTGAAGGAAAAAGAAATGCGTGCTAGTTTTGCTGTCTTACCTCAAACTGCCAACATTATAGCCACAGTGTGTGATAAGTGCTTAGTTCAGATGGAAAAGACATTAAACTTTTGGGGGGAAAACATGAGCAGAAAACGTGATGACAACACGCTGCCCAAGAGAGCATTGAGCCCTGGCCGGTTTGGCTCAGCGGTTAGAGCGTTGGCCTGCGGTCCAGAGAGACCCGGGTTCGGTTCCCGCTAAGGGCACGTACCTCGGTTGCAGTTTGTCCCCGGCCCTGGTCGGTCATGCGGGTGGCAGCCAGTCGATGTGTTCCTTTCACGTCGATGTTTCTCTCTCTCTCTCTCTGTTCCTCTCTCTCCCTTCCACTCTACCTGAACAAAAAATGGAAAAATGTCCTCAGGTGAGGATAAAAAAAAATAAAATTAAGAGAGCATTGAGCCTACAGGAAGACTTCAGCAAGGGGTCCCCTGAAACGAGTGACCACACATCTTTTATTACAGTGTACTGTTAGAATTGTTCTATTTCATTATGTTATTGTTCATCTCTGACTGTGCCTAATCCATAAACTGAACCCATCACAGGTATGTATTACAGGAAAGGAAGTATATCTAGGGTTCAGTACCATGCATGGCTTCAGGCATCCACTGGGGGTCTTGGAATGTATCCCCCTGTGGATAAGGGGGGGACTACTGTACTTCATAAAGTTAGCAGTAAGGATTAAATAACAAAACAAGTGTAAACCCCTGTGCTCAGTGTCTGGCATTAAATAAATGACAGCCATTAGCATTTTTGTTGTTTTGAATTTAGCACGGACTTAGAGAGGTGATTATGGTGATAAATAAAGTGTGCCCACAACATCCTTCCTTTGGGAGCAAAGATTTCCAAGGTATAGACATTTACTCAAAATAAAGACAAACTCAGAACTTCAACATTTCCACCCTCCATCAAAAAGCTTCCTGACTTCATTTCTTTCCTCCATCAAATGTGGAGGCCAACAGGGGCAATCAGGAACACAAGAGACAAGCCACCTAATTGTGCAAGAACTCAAGGAGCAAATACTACAGACAGTGTGAGCAGCGTTTCCACGTCCTGTCACTTCCTCTGGGAGGCCTCTGCTGCCCACTCTACCGAAAGCAGTGCCAGGGTGCCCGTCTTCACACCTTCCAACCCCACAGCTGACGTGCCTTTGCATATCAGACTATCACTTACTATTCACTTACGTATGCGTTTACTGTCTTCCCTACTAGAATGTCAGCTCTTTTGGGAAGTAAATTGGTTTGTTTTGGTGATGGCTGCATCCCCAGTGCCTCGACCAGGGTCTGGCACTCAGGAAATCTTTGTGTAGTGACTGAATACCAGCATTTATTCCTGAGTACTAATATGTGCGGGCAATGAATTGGGTACTTAATAAACACCTATGTAGCCCTGGCCAGTCTGGCTCTGCGGTTGGAGTGTTGGCCTGTGGTCCAAAGAGACCCGGGTTCAGTTTCCGCTAAGGGCACGTACTTCAGTTGCCATTTGTCCCCGGCCCTGGTTGGGTCGTGTGGGAGGCAGCCACTTGAAGTGTCCCTTTCACGTTGATGTTTCTCTCTCTGTCTCTTCCTCTCTCTCCCTTCTACTCTATCTGAACAAAAAATGGAAAAATATCCTTGGGTGAGGGAAAAGTAAATAAATAAATACCTATGTAGCTCTTACTATGTTTGAAGCACTGTTGCAAATCACTGATGGTCACCACAATCCTATGAAGTCATATGATGATTTCCTTCATTTCACATGGGAACAGAGGCATAGAGTTGAGTAGCATGCCCAACACCCTCCAGCTGGTAATTGAGTGAACTAGGATCCCCAGTTAGGTCTGCTTTACTATCAAGCTCATGTTCCTCCCCCTGTGTCTCTGATGGGGTGGAAGGTATCAGAGGTGGGGACTGAAGTCAAGGTCACGCAATCTTGATTCCGGAGGTGGCTGATGTCAGAAGAGGGTAAAGGACCACCAGCATGTTTCTGGCGGGGAGAGGCATTTCTC